TTTTTTTTGTGTATGACAGTGTGGTTTGAAAAACTCCTGTTAATTCTATAGAACATTATGTCCAGATGGTAGGTGAGGTATTTTTCCCCTTCACTCAGGTGTTACGGTGTGAAAACTAATTTTTCTCTACTGTATTGATAGAGTTGCAAAAGCACAAAACATTATGTCCAAGTACAGCTTGTATCAGTACATCATTGATTTCAAGCCATAGTACTCCATTTGTGAAGGATCTGTGGTGATATAATGCATCAATTTGGGGTATAGGTAGAAGGGAGTATTACTTTGGCCTACATGGGACAGCACATAGAGATCTTGAAAGACTTTAATACGTGGGCTTCCTCAACTTTATCTGTATCTCTGCTGGAGCTCATTCTCATTTTCTGGCTGTAGCTTGGCACAGGTTTTGCCTATATGTAAGGATATTTTTAGGCGTGTCCCTTGTGACACTCCATCATAACTTATGGGTTTGGGAAGATGCGTGTGACTGCCACAAGTCTTGCAAGTAATCCAGCATGGTCCTTGGTCTAGGAGCACCAAGACCAATAAAGTTAAAATGCCACCCTGGGCAATTGTGTCTGTTGTCCCAGTGGGGACTTCTTGAGGATTGCTAGGACCTTTTCAGGTACAGCCCAAGTAGTTTCTGATAGAATTTGTGAATGTGAGGGCTTTCAGATTGCTCAAGTCCATCCCCTTTTTCCTTGCCAAGATCCTGTTTGCCTGCTGTCATGGTTTAACTCCAGCCAGCAACCAACACTCGCCCCCAGTGGGATGGGGGAGAGAATCGAAGAGTAAAAGTGAGGAAAAACTCATGGGTCGAGATAAAGACAGTTCAATAGGTAAAGCAAGAGCTGCGCACGCAAGCAAAGCAAAACAAGGAATTCATTTGCTACTTCCCATTGGCAGGCAGGTGTTCAGCCATCTCCAGGAAAGCAGGGCTCCATTATGTGTAATGGTGACTTGGGAAGACAAATGCCATCACTCTGAATGTCCCCCCCTTCCGTCTTCTTCCCCCCCAGCTTTATATTCTGAGCATGATGTCATAGGGTCTGGAATATCCCTTTGGTCAGTCAGTTAGGGTCAGCTGTCCTGGCTGTGTGCCCTCCCAACTTGTTGTGCACCCCCAGCCTTCTCGCTGGTGGAGTGGGGTGAGAAGCGGAAAAGACCTTGACACTGCTCAGCAATGATGAAAACATCTCTATGTTATCGGCACTGTTTCCAGCACAAATCCAAACCATAGCCCCATACTAGCTACTATGAAGAAAATTAACTCTATCCCAGCCAAAACCAGCACAGCTGCTCTTTCTGATATGTGCAAGACAACATTGACCAAGGGAAGAAATGGCAGAAAATTGTGTACAGGATGCCCAAATGAAACCAGTCATAGCCTTTGACTTCCAAGACTCTTCAGTTTGTCTGTGAAAACTGGAAAGCCCATGATCATGAAGGATGCCCTGGAAAATTTAAAATCTGTGGCACGTTGTATTCATGTGTTGGGCTGAAAGCAATAAACCATTACAAAAGCCTAAACAATTCTCAAACAGTGTAGGGTTGTGAGGAACAGCAGTTTAGCAGCCAGGGCTGTTTTGTTAGCATTGTGCTAAACTGCCTTCAAGTAGCAGCCTTTGTAATGTCTCTTCCTGTCCATTTTTATTACACCAGCTGTAAGTTCTCTTGAGAACTTACAGCATGTTTTCTGGTGTGGGAAGTGCTTGGAAAATAAGCTGAGGAGGTTACCACTGCTTATGTGTGTAGAGGCTGTGGGACCTGAGGAGAAACAGGAGACACTGAGAAACTCTACAGCCTGAACTCTTTTCTTCCTTCCATCATTAGCTCCTACAGCTGCTTCAACTTGAAATTAAAGGCAAATGCATGTGCTGTTGGAGCCCATATTTTCAAGATCCACTCCACAGCTGTCTTGTAGTGCTGAGCTCCCTGGGGTGGGGTTCATTCCTTGTCCTCTCCTCATTGCAGTTTGCTTGTTCCCAGTTTCGGTACCTTTTCTGCAGTAGACTGGCTGTCCTTTTGGACTTTGATTCTCTGGCTTTACTCACAGATATTGAGAGTCCTAAGCACATGAAGTAGCTATTCTTTTGCTAGCAGGACAGGTAAGCTACCTTGCTTGCCTGCTTTTTCATATTCGTCGTCTGTTGCTTTCCCTTCTTTGTTGCAGCAGTGCCGATGTTAAACTCACTGGATATGCTTCAGGCAGCCTTTGGCTGAGATGGCTGTGGCCACTCTCATCGTCTGGTGGAGAAATGGAAAGGGAGTCCTGGAAGAGCTTCTGTTAGTCCCAGAGGGGAACAGAACTACCTGGCGGCAATGGGAAGCTGTGCTCTTGCCTGTCCCTGAAGCGGGGAATGCAGCACAGCTGCCTGAGGGAGGATCTGCAGCAGATTCTCTGGTGCAGAAGGGAAGTGGAAAGACTGCTTGGTGCCTGTAGGCAAGCTTCTCTATAACCTTTTGGGAAAGTACTTGAGGAAGCTGGAAGAGGATTCTTCTGGCAGAATCTCTGTCCCTTTACAAGCATTAGATAACATGAAAAGGGTCTGAGCAGCACCAGATCAGCAAAAGACTTTTTTCCAACCAAGTAAAGTATACCTTAGTTGTTGCTATGTCTGAAACCAGGGGACATGCTAAACTTGTGTGCAAGGTCAGAGTGAAACTTGCAGTTCCAGGAACTGTGGGGGGACAAGCCCGGATGGTTGTGTAAGTGAAAAGCAAAGTGGAGAAGTGATACGGGGGTAATGTGGCAAAAGGGGACTGGTCGAAGATGTGTATAGAAAGGGAACAGGGTGGGTTGTGCTCTTTGCAGACTCTGTCCAGGACTCTGTCCAATGCATTGTTTGTTAAATCTCGTCACACTTGAGCACAAACACATGTTTAGTTTGCCTCAAGGGGTAAACCAAAGCATTCCCCAACACTTGCCTATAATTAAGAATCAGTTCAGTAATCCCGGATGCATTATCTAATATACTGTGTACTATTGAAGATTATTTGCAGGTAAGGGAGAGAAGGGCAACAGAGCCAAGGGCCCAGTATAACTTCACCTTACTGCATGTAATTCTGGAAAAAGAAATGAGGAAAGATTGATTCTTTTTCACTGTCTATATTTCCGTACTCATCTCAAAATAATTGCCAAGTGCTTCTGGTGTGATAAACTGGGAGGGATGTAAGGTGAGTGACAGCTGCTGAAGCTGTAGTTTTTGGGGGCTAATGACATTTAGGTGTTGCATATGGAACAGACCTCACCAAAGCCATTGACATTCAAATAACTTAAAACCAAACAGCCTTTTACGAGGTCCCTTCTACAGAGTGTGGGGGCAAACGTTCAGTGATCAGTTTATGGCCTCTTTATGCCAAAGTGCTTACCATGTTAGAGATTAGAAAAGCACATTTGATTCATTATTAGGTCTTCTTCAAGACTAACTACAAAAATAACTGAAGACTTTATGGAGAAAAGTAGTGTGGGGATCCCTTCCCATCACTGAGGGATGGTGAAATGTAAAATGTGGCAGAGAATAGCATAGCAGTACCTATTTCCTGTGAAGATCACAGATTTTGTCATTGTTGTCATTTCTATCCCCTCACCCCCAACATGAGTCCTGTTACATTACAGAGATGGGCTTATGCCTGGCATTTAGCACATGAATTATTTTTGCCTTGGGTCTCACTTTGAACTGGAGAGTCTGTAGCAGAGTTTGACACGCTGCAGGGCTCATGAAGGAAGGGTGAAGAGAAATGAGACTGCTGTAAAATTGATAGACTTTATATATTGAGAGGGGAAAAGTCAATACCAAGTATCTTTCAAGATACTCTCTCTCGTGTTGTGCTTATACAGCCCGTTGGCTTTAAATTCTTGGCCAACACTGTATAGTACTAATAAAAGCTGGTGCCTGTTGAGACTTTTGCTTTCCATCTCTACCAGGTAATCGGCATTGTAATGTGGGGAAAGGAGGAGGAAAGTGGAAGTGAGATCACTTAACTTATTCACAGTAGCTATGGCTGATGGGGGTGAGGGCAGGAGAGAAGAGTAGGCATTTAATAACAACTAAAGTTTTACATAAACAGGAGTACTTCAGCTGTTCCGTCTCTGTTCCTGGTTTTAAGCAAGCCAAGTGTTCCTTAGTAAAAGTAAGATCGAGCCTTTAGCAGTATTGGTGCAAACAACTGCTAGCAGGTCAATGTTTTGGAAAAAGGCATTCCCAGACTTACGCAGCATGTACAAATGATGGCAAATCCAGTTGCAGACGTCCTCTTGCCGGATTGAAAGTGCCACGCCGCTCTGGTGCAGGGTGCCAAAGTCAACGCTGACTGCGTGCATCTCTTCAAGCGTTTTGAAGTCCTGCCTTTAACGGAGCTGGTTTTGCCCAATTCTGCTATCCTGTGCCCATCTCCCTAGCTCAGCCCCTGCAGCTGGCCCGTGGACCAGCCTCTCCCTGCTTTGTAATCTTTTTGCTGTTCCAAGACACCACCTCACTATCTCCCTTCCATGTTCACCTTCAGCCCCAGGCTCAGCTATGTTTGAGCTGTAACGGTTCCCCTCAGCACCTTATTTCTTGACTGGGGGCGCAGCCGGGTGGACCCTGGAGAGGAGCCCGGTATTGCCACCCGGGCCATAAACCTGGGCTCCGCACCAGCCTCCCCACATCCCGGTTTCTTTGGCCTCACCTACGGTGACTCCAAAATTATAGGGACCTTTTCCGCCCCCCCCCCCCCATTACCCGGCGCCCTTCTCGGTGGAGAAGGATGCCCGGCCGTGAGTGCGTGCGGTTTTCCGTGTTTTTTCTTCCCCTCAGCGTCACCCTTTTCAGCCTAGCTGAGGCAGGAGCTTCCCCCGCCGGCGCCAGGTCCCTCAGCGGCGGCCTGCGCTCCCTCTCCAGGCCGGGGCCGAGGCGGCGGCCGACAGGGGCGATCGTTAGCGGGGCGGGACCGGGAGGTGGTGCCGCGGCAGCTGCCGTCCGTGTCGGGGGCGGGCAGGAAGGAGGGGCGGCGGGGCCGATGGATATACGGCGAGCCGCCTGCGGGCCGGGGGCGAGGCCGCCGCCTGGCCCGGGGGAAACGGCTGGGGCTGCGGTGAGGGGACGCGAGGTGCCGG